CCCCCCCCCCCCCAAAATCCCCAAATAAACATCACTCAATCTATAATTAAATTTTACTTTATTTATTACTGATTGAAGCAATTTCGTTACAAAAGTCAATCAAACAGGATGCTCTCCCACAATCGTCGTCTTTCTCATTTTAAAAATAAAAAAAGTCCATCATTCCTCTACAACACCAAAGCCGAATGAGCGATAAAAGAAACACTAGGAACAGAACAGAGTACTCTCCCCTAGGTACATTGTATTCTTTCACCCTATATACCTCTATACAAATATTACAACGAGCGATTGCAAAATTCATTACTTCATTTTTCCTCTACGTAGATATTTTTTTCTCCAATTTCTTAACTTTACCCTCAATTACTTTTTCATTTTAAAATGATTAAACGAGAGATAGAGAAATGACAAAAATTTAAATCAAAACCAAAGAGTTTACAGAGCTGTATAAAAACTACATGTCCTTACATTCACGAATCACTCATATTTCGCTTTCGTATAATTTTCAATTCAATCAATTTCCAATTATTTTCCCCTTCATTTTTTCATTAATTGTAATATTTATGATAAAATGCTAATATATATTTTTTTTATTACACATATCGTTCCACCCGCAGTGACTGAACACTGCGGGAAAAACATCATATATTTAATAATGTTCATATCATTATTTATCTAATGTGTAACACTAGGATTTTTAATTTTTTTTTCAATGTTTTTTCCCTTTTTTTTACTCTTTTTCTTTAGATTCTAAGCCGCACCGAACGAGACACACTGATGACTTACCACTGCTTTCTCAACACCGTTAGATTGTGATGTTTAATTAAAACACTCAAATCTCGCCGACATCACTCACACGTCTTTCGTCATAAGTTCTCGGTTAACTTTTAATTACTAGACAGAAAATCGTCTCTCTTTTGGCATTTTTCGCTCTCTCGATTTGTTTTAAGTTTCAATTATGCGAATACAAAATAATGGTCTTTCATTTGCGATTGGATTATTCAGAATTGTGAAAGAAAGGACAGCAGTTGGTGTACGAGATCCCATTTTATTGCACCCCTCGTACAGTCATGAATGGAGAGATCAATTTTATGCTCGAGTTAATTACTGAGGTAGCAACAGTCTGTTGGAACCTCGAGGCCTTTAGGAAAATAAGGAAATGCAAGTTTTCATTTTTCGTGATGCTGATCTCGAGGAATTGATATAAGAGTTACAAATTGCTTGGGTGGAAAAACGGTGGATGGAGGTGATTCCAAAAATTTAATTGTCGTCTTCATTTTCGACATTTTTCCCAGAATTTTTCATTTCTTCGGGATTTGCAAATATCTTGGTAGGGTAAGCCACCGAGTAGACGGACACTGCCCTATAGATGAACGAGCTACTTTTGGATAGGAAATAACGCAAAAAAATGTTGAACTGCGAATTGTTGCTTTGAATTTTCACTAACTGTTGTGATTCTTAACCCCTGAATGACGATTTTTTCTTCGATCAATTGTTTTTTCAATTACTAAAAAAACAAACGTCCATCTACTGGGCAGTTTACCCTACAGGGAATTCAGAAAAAATTGTCGATAGGATTTTTCATGGTCGATACTGCCATTTTGAATACTCGATTCGACTCTATTGATGGAGAGCATGCGGAGCCGACAGGAGATTGTTAATATGCTAAAAACAATGAAGACAAATGAATATGTTAACCCCCAAAGTGCTCTATGACGTTAATTGAGACGGCAGTTAAGAGGTTATTAGTCGATTATTCGAGATTTTCCCCATCAATTTCTCATCTAATGGCAGAATCAGTTGGGGAGTATTGAGTGTAGTGAAGAAAAATGAATGTAAATGTAAAAATAATTTTCATGGTTTTTACAAATTAATTTCATAAATATCTTCTCAACTAATTGGTTTAGGGAAACATTTCAACAGATTTTTTCTGCATATTGTGAAATTTTTTACAGAAATATCTGCAACAGCTTTAAAAGCCCTTGATTGACAAGATTTTCCCCCAAAAATCGATTGTGGCCATTGATTTCAATCTAGAATCACAGGTACTTTCACAAAAAATCAAATTTTCAAAGGGATTTATGCTGTATAAAATCAATATCTCTAGAACTACTAGATTTAGATGAAAATGTCAAAGGACATTTTTTGCAAACCATGAAATCCCTCACGAAAAAACAAAAAAGTTTCAACATTTCCTCCTAAATCCCCTAGTTTGAAAGATATTTCTCAAAACGTTCGCCAATTCATTTGGAATTCACCTCCTTCCACCACTTTGCTACATTCATGTTTTCCAATATTACATTTAACGGTTAAATTTAATGAATCCCACGGTCGGTGTCTCATCAAGTGTGGATACTACGAAATAATCCATCGATATAATCTATCTGTACACTCACAACCGTCCAGATACACAATAATATTAACATATTTAATATGGTACCACTAAAAATATAAAATAAAATTCAGGCCCCCCAATTTTTCCTATTGCTGCTCTAGTTTCGTTATTTGAATTTGGCTACGTGTAGCTAGTACTATAAAATGTGCTGATAGAGTGAATTTAATGGGTAAATTTTCTTCATAAATATGTTCACGCATGAAAGAATTTCATTGAAAAATTCAGCAAATTGGACAGAACATTATATTAGTTCTTGGCAGATTCTTTTGTCCAATAAAAATTATTTTACAGATAAATTCAGTAGAATTTCATCTCTTATATAACTTTTTCTATAAAAATTCCTTGACATAAATTTTTTGATTAAAAAAATCAATTTTTGAAAATATTTGCCATTTAACATTTCTATTGAAAAAATGCATAAGCTACAAAATTTTTCAACATAATCAGCCAAAAACTAACAGAAAGTTCAGCAGAAATCCCATAGAATTTTCTAGATAATTCGCTAGATTTTCCTATCAAATTTTTTCACACGCGCTGTCATTGAATTTTTTAATAATTTTGTGACAATTCATCTACGAGTCCATATTAAATATATTTTACAAGAATATTATCATTGTACATGAACAACGTATGCTCAACACCTCAGTGCTCACTTTGCTGTCGTAACAATCAGCGCAGCACAATAGTATTTATTTTTACTGATGGAATCATTTGTTCACGAGAAAAAAAAAGTAACAAAGATTGAAAATAAAACTTTTCTACCAATTGAAACAATTTATATGTTGCTCTACTAGTGTCATTTCAGAATGATAAATTTCACTGAATTTGATTTGAGTTCAATTGTGATAAATATATTGTGATAATGGAGAACCCTCAGGTGCACTGATTGCTCGATGATGGAGGTAATCAGCAAATGAGTCAAGTGTTTTCAATTTTTATTTTCTTGTTAAAAATTAAAATGACGTTAGGACGTGAATTTTAGTGTCCCGATGTGTGCGCCGCCCTGGTACCTGCTGATAATTAAATTTAATATATTTCACGGTTGGAGAATATGGGAAACAAGTAGATTCACTCAGATTAACAGCACTTATCATTAATTGATTTATTTTTGATAAGTTTTGTTTCTTGAAAAAGAGGGCGATTTAACTCCCTTTGATTATCAATTGTTAACATCTCGATTATGAGTGATTTTATGAGAAATCAGACTTTTTTGTGGGGAATTGTCTGATATACAAGAGATCTGAAGACTTTTATTCGTAAAATCGCTCATTTCTACTAAAACCTAAACCGTTACCGAATTATGGAATTATCATCCTGTTCTCAATGAAATCAACAAAAGTCTCTAATTATTCCAGAAAGAATTGATGAGTCTCGACAAGTTCCAAAAAAACAAAAGAATTCATCTCAAAATGAAGAAAATAAACTCAAACAGATTATTCGTGGGAATAATTAAGATGAGGAAAATTCATTTATCTTTGATGAACTTTTCTTCGCCTCAAGAAATTGCTTCATAAAATTGTTCATTTCTGAGATGATTCGTGAATTAAGCATGAGAAATATTTCAAGTTAATTCAAAAATGTTTTGTGTGTTCAGCAATTATCTCGAGTGATGCAGACAAAAACATCAAGAGACGTTTCTCACGCCGAACTTTCTTATCCCCACAAAAGTCTCTTGACGTTTGTCGAGATAATCGTTTCAATAAAAGGAATAATTTCATTTCTACTAAAACTTACACCGTTACCGAATTATGCAATTACCATCCTGTTCTCAATGAAATCAACAAAATTGTCTCTAATTACTTCAGAAAGAATTGATGAGACTCGACAAGTTCCAAAATATCAAAGTAATTCATCTCAAAATGGAAAAAATTAGCTTTCACGGTTAAATTATTGGTAGAAATAATTAACCCGGGAAAGATTAATTTTTCTTTAATTAACTGTTCTTTATCTCAAGAATTCAGTAGTGAAGCGGTAAACCGAGTTAAGTCGATTTTGACTATTAGCACGTTTTTGCTGAATATCTCGGAATCTAAGAGAGATAGCAAAATTTTTCTCATAACTTTTTTTATAACGCTCTATTGGCTCTACAAAAAAGGTCATGACAAAAATCTTTCTATCTCTCTTAGATTCCGAGATATTCGTCAAAAACTAGCCAATAGTAAAAATCGACTTAACCCGGTTTACCGCTTCGCTACTGAATTATCTTTATAAAATTTATTTTATGAGGAAAATTCTTATTTCTGCAGACCAAAACATCAAGAGACATTTTTCACGGAGAACTTTCTGATCCCCACAAAAGTCTCAATAAAAGAAATCATTTCATTTCTACTGAAACCTAAACCGTTACTGAATTAAACAATTCACATAGTTTTCTCGACCCAATGAACAAAATAGTCTCAAATTCCTCCAGAATGAATTGATGAGTCTCGACAATTTCCAAAAAATAAAAATAATTCATCTCAAAATGGAAAAAATAAACTTACACGGTTCGATTATTGGTAGAAGTAATCAACGCGAGGAAGATTAATTCTTCTTTAATTAACTTTTCTTTATCTCAAGAATTATCTTCATAAAATTTATTTTATGAGGAAAATTCTTATTTCTGCAGACCAAAACCTAAAGAGACATTTTTCACGGAGAACTTTCTGATCCCCACAAAAGTCTCAATAAAAGAAATCATTTCATTTTTACTGAAACCTAAACTGTTACCGAATTAAGCAATTCACATAATATTCTCGACCCAATCAACAAAATAGTCTCAAATTCCTCCAGAATGAATTGATGAGTCTCGACGAGTCCCAAAAAATGAAAGTAATTCATCTCAAAATGGAAAAAATAAACTTACACGGTTAGATTATTGGTAGAAATAATTAACGCGAGGAAGGTTATTCCTTTTTCTCATCAGTAATTGGATTGGAGGGATTTTGTGACTCCGTTGCAGTCTCGGTTTTACCAGTGGCATCAGTAGCGTCTTGACTCGAGTCGGAGCTGTCCTTGACCTCCTCTTTTTTCTTGTCATCCACCCCGCTTTTTGATTCTTCCGCTGAATTTTCCGATTCTTCCGTTGACTTTTCATTCTTGGAATTTGTCTCAAGCGTCTTAGAGTCTGCCTGATCCTTGTCAGCCTCGTTATTCTTCTCATCGTCCTTGTCCTTGTCGTCCTTCACATCGTCAACCTCCATCTTCGGCGACTCATCGTCGTGCTTCTCGTTTTTGTTGTTCGCTGCTTCCTCATCTGTGTTGTTGTCGTTGTTCTTGTCTTGTCGCTTGGGACGTCCACGACCACGACCAGTACCAGTTGTTGGTTTCGATACTGTCTCGCGTTTCTCCTTCTTCGGGGGCGAAGGAGCCGGGGTCGTCGAGGTCAAACCACGCGCTGAACTGCGGGTACGCCTTCTTCCCTCAACTTCAACGACAGATTTGTCCATACCCTTCAATTGAGAGAGAAATTGCACCGTTAGAAGTGGATTGTTCAAAGATCTCGATGTAAATAGTTGAGAATGGTAGACTGAACGCAGTTTTTTTTAACCCCTCACGTACGGGCTCCATACGATGTATGGAGGCACGAACTTGTCCTATCGGCCGGGGTCCATACATCGTATGGACCCTTTCCGTCAACAGTAAAAAATTATTTTCTCGAATTCTAAGACACATATTGACATTTGGAAAAAAAATTTGGAAAGTCAATAAAATTGTTTGTGAAGTGAGTTCATTGATTTTTTTTTCTCAATGCATTTTTAAAATTTTTTTTTATATCAACAAAAGTCGTGGATGAAAATACTATTTTGCTCCGATTTAATCATATTCAATCATCTCGTTTGTCGAGAAAATTTTACAGAAAATTTTTGGAATTTTTTCTGAAAATACTTTGATGACCTTCCTATCGAATGGCACAAGTTAAATTCAATTCATTGAATAATGTATTTTNTGGCACAAGTTAAATTTCAATTCATTGAATAATGTATTTGTTATAAATAAGTTCACCGAATTTGGAGATCTCGGCGAAAAATTGTCCTGGAGGATAAATCGGTGACTTGAATGCGGAAAAAACAGAATTCTCAGGGCGTTTATTTCAAATTTCAATTCATCCAATGCATTTTATTTCAAGTTTTCTCGATCACCTGTTTTCGAGTTATTGCTGATTAAACAATGGAATTGGCGCGTCGTCGTAAGCCTCCCGGCCGTTGGGACAAGACGCGTTCTAGGGACCCCGTACGTGAGGGGTTAAAGTAAAAGTTGAATGTTAATATTGGTTAATCTCTTCAACTGCTTTTCTATATGGATATTGTAGAGCTGCGGGACACCCCCAAAAAAGCGCTTCTAAATTGACCGACTGACCACTCGCGTTCTAATGCGTAATTCTTTTTTTGAACAATGAACTATGATCACAGAACGTCAAGTAAATAATTTCCAATCAGTTTTAGGCATTGCAACTATTTATTATCAACAATTTAATGTTTCAAATCACCCTAGCGCCCAAACTATGAAAGATATACGAAAATTTTCGAATCACGAATCATTTAGAATTTGATAAGGAATAATGTTTGTTTTTTGTCAATTTCACATATCTCCTTTAGATTTCGAAATATGAACAAGAAAAGAGTTGCGTGACCCAACACAGCGCTCTCAAGCCCACCGCGCACAGCAAGTACAGAGCGCTGTGTCGGGTTGCGTAACTAGTTTATTGCTCATATCTCAGAATCTACGAGAGATAGGTAAAATTGATAATTAACAAAAATGATTCCTTATTAAATTCTAGATGATTCATGATTTGAAAATTTTCGTCTATACTTCATAGTTTGGGTGCTAGGGCGATTTGAACAATTTAATTGTTAATAATAAATCATTCCAATGCCTAACATTAATTGAAAATTGTTTACTTGACGTTTAGTGATAATGTTTTATTGGTTAAAATACGAATTACGCATTAAAACGCGAGAGGTCAGTACATGTCTGAAAATCGAGGGTGTCCCGCAGCTCTATTGAGATATATGAGAATGTAAAAAATTTAAAAATGTGCATGCATTCTTTCGAATATGTAACATGATTGTATTTATAACTATATTTTATAAAATATTACGTATTTATTTTACATACTACATATTTTACAAAATTTCAAAATCCCGGAGGGTATATATCTCGAATAAATAAATGAATAATTACAGGACAAATTTTGTTAGAAGGGGATTTCGATGTGGAGAATTAAAACGTGACAAGTCAATTTTGACATACTCTTGAATGGTTAGTTATTTGGGGGTGTGAGATTCTAGGGCAAATGCCAGTACATTTTTTTACACACGTGTAGCTTCATGCAGAACTTGACAGAAATATAAAGTGTGGTTTCTGAAATTTATGGAGTAGGTATTGATGTCAGACTTTATTTAAAAGTTTACCTCAACAAAGGAATTGAGAATGGAAATTGAATAATTATAGAACTTTTTGAACTTTAAATTGAACTCTCCCAGCATCAGATCAGATTGTTGATCAGATAGTCTACCGCAGCCAGTGGACGAGGAATTATCCAGCGCATGTAAATTTTCAAAGCAATGAAATTTATAATTCATTGGGTTATGTCATTATTCATGTTTGAAAATGTTCTATTCCCAGATAAACATCAATCCATGGGGATTCTAGGGCAAATGCCAGCACATTTTTTTTAGATTTGTAAAGATACAAAAAAGGTTTAATGGCGTTTTCTCCTGGCAGTGAATCGTTTTTTAGACGAATAGAGAATCCATAAATATATCGAAATAATTTTTTGTAGCAAATTCATGGATTGTTCATCCTTTTCGAGAGCTCAACTGTAAACCATTAATTAGAGTTAGCATTTTTCATTATGTTTTCAGTTTTCAAGGAGGAAATATGTATTTCGCTTAGATTTCTATAATAAAAATGTGGGGGTAGCTTTAGAAAAACGAGCGGTGGATTAATTTCGAAGGGGAATTTTGTGGAAGACAAAGAAAGGCTCCTGATGTTATTTGTTAGAGCTTGTAATTTCGTAAATATTCGCGAAATTGTTGGGTTTATGTTCAAATATTTTGAATCGTTCTTTGATTTTTAAGGAGCATAGAGATATGTCATAAATTTCATAAATTACAAAGGAAGTCTTCTGAAATTTTTCGATAGAGCTAATATTTTCGGAGATATTTGTAAAACAAGAAGTCAAGAGAAGTTTTGAGAATATTTTGGATACGCGTGGATTCAGGAAGTAATAGCAATTTTCCCAATCTATCAAAGAAGTCTGTTGATATTTCTCCCTAAACTTAATACTCCCCAAGATGTTCACGATTTGTGGTCATGTGCCTCTCTTGCAAAATTATTCATCGTTTAATTTTTCTAATAATCATTTTACTCTAGTATATTATTTGAGATGTCCGTTTCTGCGGAAATTCATAGAAGGTTCTAGAACGTTCAAGAGACATCTAGAACGGTACAGAATCCTCTGGAAAGTTCGCAAATCGTCTGGAAAACTCGTGTTAGATGTAGAATCTTCCAAAAAAAACTCTGGAATGTTCTATAAATCTCTAGGAATTTCCTGATGAATTCAGAAGCTAACGTTTCGAAAAATTTTGTACATCAATTTTGCGTGATTTTAGCGTAAAATTACCGTAAAAATTTGTAAAAACTTCTCGATTAATTTGAGATTTTATCTACGAGACTCTTTCATCATCTCTCCAGGGTCTCCGACAATATTTTAGAATATTCCCCTGTTCTAAAATTTTCATTTTCATTTTCATTTATCCCCTAAATGTCGATTTCAACATGAAAAAAAATACACCAAACACACTAGTCCCCCAAACTAGCACTAGATCTCCCCAAATTATGTCATCAAGCAAAATTCAAGTACTCAATTCCACACTCCAAAAAATTATTCCCCCAATTCCCCAGAGCTCCTAAAATACCCCCCAGAACAAACTCCCCCCTGAATTTCTCTTTTCGCCACTCCCTCCTGATTAATTACCCTCTCCCTAAATTCGAGAGTTTAACGAACAAACGAGGCCCATATAATTTCGCGACCCCTCCCCCCACCCAGTGAAAGTGACCCCTGAAAAAATATCCATAAACCTCAACGACTCATTTCCCCAAATGAAGTTTGAGTTCGCCCACCAAGCCGTAAACACCCGCCATATGTTCACCTCCAGCGCTTCAAAAATGGCGCCAATTCCCCGTTCTCCCCTCCAGCCAGTCGCCCCACCCCTACTTGCGCACCGGCATTCCCCCTCGCGCCCCTGATGCCACGCAACAACAATTGAGAGAAAGGGAATACGTCCGAAACCTTTCCTAAAAGCAAACGCTTCCACAAAAATGGAGGGAAAACAGATATCCACTAGTGGGGGTGGGCAGCCTTGACCAAGCGATTAACTACTTCTATCCATATTTTTGGGAATTTCCTCGTCTCATGGCTGATTTGAATAATTTAAGGGAATTAATTTACCTTTATAATTGCCTCGCCCTCTTGAGCTGTTCTCTCCAACGTTGACAATCGCTTTGAACCCCCTCGCTTATTTTTCGCTGGCGTTGGTTTCTCCTCCTTCGCCTGATCCTTGCAGACGAAAAATCAGTGAAATTATTCATATCCAACGAACACAAAGGAAATAAAACGTGAAATGAGACGATTTTGGGACTTCAAACAATACGGAAACTCATTTGCATAATTGAAATGGATTTTGAGATCAGTTTTTTTTGCAATATCTCGGGATTGAAGGGAGATAGTAAAATCTATGTGAGAACCTTTTTTGTTGAGGAAAATGAGAGAGCTCTTTTCTTCAATCCTATGTGACAAGAACTGCAAATGAACTTGCCATCACCGATTTCTTCCGGAAATAACGCACGAAACTCATCAGAAACTTTAAACACTGACTTGGAGATTCGGGAGTGATTTTTCTTCCCGAGTGGATTACAACAATGCTTACAGCCAGGCATGATTTCAAAAAGTTCATATAGCGTTTTTCGATTTGAGTACCTGTCACGACTATCCGTTGACAAATGTACTCGAAAATTTAAGCAATCTCTATTTATGCACTTCTGGAGAAAATGGATCGTCCTCTATTGGCTGATTCGCAACCAGCCAATCAGTGATTGAATCATCAATATATCTCGGATACCTGCTGGACGTTCGGCTATCTCCGGGAGGGCATTCCATGTGCTCCCTTTTCACGTACATTGCAGTCATTGAAACCGAAATTTCATGACGCACGAGTAGATGAGTAATAAAAGGTTGAATTTCACGGTCAATATTGGTTGCCCTGATCACAGTGCATAAAGCGAGACACCCCCTGTGGGGTGGTTGGCACCGTAGGTGCCCCGCCTTAGGCACCAGTTGATTGTCTATTGACATTTTCCAGAACCATTTAATTGTCAGTAAGTAATATAAAATCCAAAGTAGCGGCTCTGGAATATCCAGAAGTCCATTGTGAACTGACGTTCGAAGAAAGTTACAGGCTGAGACGCTGTTGGGTGCGAGACGCTCAGCATGTTCCCGCAACTTGGAATGCATCCGGAGACCTGCGACTTGCAGAGCTCCGTAAAAAACTCAATATCTCGGGAGCTATTCAAGATTAGTCAATGCCATTTATACCAACAATCCTTCGATACCTACGCTATAAGATTTTTTTCTCTCGAAATTTTCGCAATATGCCCTCATACTTTGCTTTTAAGTTTTTAATTTGTTTATTGATTAATTCATTGCAAATTGAACTTTTTCGCGTCCATTTTTTCCCCCGGAAATTTACACTTGTTTATAATAAAAAAGTTCTCTTTCACTAATTCGATAAAATTGATATTTATCGAGTTATATATATTTTTTTAAATACTCACCTGGTCCAGCCTGAAAATTTTGATGTCGCATAACTTCCAAATTTTTTTTTAATGATATTCTAAGGCATGCTAGGAAACAATCGGAAACATACTCAATTTTTTTCGAAATTTGAAAAAAAAATCACCCGATTCGATCGAAGTGGCATGGAACGCCTCAGCTACAAAAAAGGTCTCAATGAAAATTTCACTACCTCCCATCTATTCCGAGATATTTTCCAAAAATGTGAAATAAGTGGATTTCACCTAGAAATTATTTTTCGAAATTGTCTCGCTATCGACAAAAAATTTTTCTGGGGCAAAAAAACTATGAAAATTTCACAACTTCCGTACGATTCGCAAATATCCCCCCCCCCTTCGACCGTGGATGTTACCTGAAATTCCTCGAAAATATCTCAAAATCCAAAAAATTGATCAAAATTTTGTTAGAGGCATTTTACTTAGGCCTTAGCTGAGTTTTCGTGGAATATCTATAAATCTACGGGAGATAATGAAATTTTCATAATGAACTTTTTGGCGAGCGAATTGAGGGCTACAAAAAAGGTCATGACAAAAATTTTGCGATCTCCCTTCGATTTCGAGATTTTCATAGAAAACTGGTCAATAGGCAAAGTCGACTTGAACTGTTTTACCGCTTCGCTACTGAATGTCTCCCATGAATAATTCAAAATGACTCCCAAAAAGAATTTCATCTCCTGCAGAACCCGAGAACTCCCAGAAAAAAATCAAACATCAAGATAAAATCTCGAGTCTCCTCTCCACCCCTATCCCCCCAAAAACCCAACGAAGGGGTCCAAACCACCACAAAATAAAAAACCTCAAAAAAATCCTCATAAAGACTAAACCCCACACCGATAATTCCCGATAACTCCTATCACCAAAGACCATTGAACTACCTCCAAAGACCATTAACCCCCGTTCCCCCACCTCTTTCCCCGCGCCGAAAATCCAAAACTCGTCCCCAAGAGCTCAAAAAACCCCAGTTCCAAGACCCCACCATCTCCACCCCCGAAAACAATTAAAAAATCACCTCAAAACAAAAACGAGTGCGAAAATTGTATCACTCGAGATATCGTAGGGACTTGATTTCCCGCCTTTTTGAGTGCCATCCCGCCGGCGTGGACTCGCTCACCTCTTCCCCCCTCCCCCCGCCTACGCCGTCGGCCGGAACGCGAGAGGCAAACAGTAAAGAAAACGAGGAGAATAAAAAAAAACATCCACCATCTTTGCCACTGAAGGACGTACCATCGGGGCATTGGAAAAAAAATGCACATTTTATCGTCGGGATAAGCCTGCAAATTACTCCCTCCCCCACCTCACCCCCCTCATTATCACCGAAAATTAATGATTGAAAAGCTGAAAGTTGCAATAATCTAATCATTGTTGAGGCCGAGTGACGAGTGCTTTTCAGTTGCACATATTCTATTTCACAGAGAGGAAGAAAAAAAAAATTGTGAAAACGTTCGGCACGCGCCGCCTCGGTGATATCCCCCCCGATGTAAACTCGGCTTGATACCCGATGGGGGCAGGCCAAAATGATACACTTAATAAATATTATTTTTCACATTTAACATTTCCTGAACTCACCTTGGGTATATCATCGACGTTATTGTCGTTCTTACTATCAGCCTTGATATCCGACATTTTATGGATTACGATATTGTGAGTATAAACACGTTGAAATTGAGATTTTTCTATTTATTGTGAGACGAGTGGAATTACGCGCTGCCGACCCGGTCACCCACTGTTTATACGAATAAGCAAAGATGGCGGTTAGCGTGGGTCACGTGACACATCGTCAAATAATCGGAGGGAGAGCGGGAGTTAGGGTGGCATCTGGCGGTGGGAGGGGGGAACTAGGGGGGGTGGGTGCCCGCATGCGCGAGGGAGTTGGTGGGATATTTTGAATTTGGTGGAAATAGTTTTTATTTTTTGGTTTCTATTTTCTATTTTTTGCTTTTTATTTTCTACTTTCTGCTTTTTATTTTCTACTTTTTGCTTTTCATTTTCTACTTTTTGCTTTCCAGTGAAAGCTTTGTAATCGTATGAATTTAAATTCTGGATTGTTCGGGTTGTATGAACCAATTAATTTCCTAGAAGTCCAAAAATATCATTTTTGAATCGAATGAATTTAATCATTTTTTTTCAAATGTACATTAGTTAAAATTTTATCCATATATTAATTGGGGATCTAAGTGAAATTTAAGTCTTCGGGTGATGAAAATAAATATCGAACGACTTTTGATAGATCATAGGGTACCTAAAAAACTGAGAAAAATTTAGCACCCGACTCGTTTTGGAAATCGTGGTGAAAATAGTTTTTATTTTTTGTTTTCTATTTTCTATTTTTTGCTTTTTATTTTCTACTTTTTGATTTTTATTTTCTACTTCTTGCTTTCCAGTGCAAGCTTTGTAATCCTATGAATTTAAATTCTGGATTGTTTGGGTTGTATGAACCCATTAATTTCCTAGAAGTCCAAAAATGATAGTGAATCGAACGAATTTAATCTTTTTTTTTCAAATGTACGTTAATTAAAATTTGATCCATATATTAATTGGGGATCTAGGTGAAATTTAAGTCTTCGGGTGATGAAAATAAATATCGAACGACTTTTGATAGATCATAGGGTACCTAAAAAACTGAGAAAAATTTCGCACCCAACTCGTTTTATCCCGAACGTCAGGGCAAAACGTCGTTTGTCGTGTTTTTGGCTTTGCAATGATTAGATTCTGTACCAGTCTGGACTGTTCAACAACTTTCCAGAGTAGTCAATGATTTTTCGGAAAAACGAACATTTCAAATTATATGCATAAAGGAAACATCTCAAATTATTATTATTAAACTTTCAATTCAGTAGCGAAGTGGTAAAACGATACAAGTCAATTTTGACTATTGGCCAGTTTCCAATGAATCTAAGGAAGATAGCTAAATTTTTGTCATAACCTTTTTCGTAGAGCCGATTGAGAGCTACAACAAATGTAATTACGAAAATTTCGCTATCTGTCTTAGATTCGGAAATATTCATCAAAAACTCAACTGGGAGATGAGTCGACTTGAACCGTTTTACCACTTCGCTACTGAATTAAAACTGGGATTCACCTCCCGACTAATAATTCACCTATGGGCCTCAATATCAGGTGTTAACATGATAATATGATAGGACGAGTGAACTCAAATTCATTCGTTTGCCATTTTTTATTTCGTACATAAAAAACTTGAGACGAAAAAAACAATAATTAATGAAGCCCTCGGTTGAAATTCATTATAAAATGCAAATATCACGATATCTGTAAAATTCTCAATGCGTTGGCATTCTTCGGTACCAGAATCTCGCTCGAAAATCGTCACTGCAGGTGAGGAAAGCTGGTGCTGTTGGTGAGTGAACGATCAATCGAACAGGACCATTGTGCCCAAGGGACAACAATTGTTTTCTCGACGCATTCCTGGAATTCCAGGCACAAAGTGACGTTGTTGCTTCGTCAGGGAACATAACGTAGTCCTCTGTGTGATTGAATATAGCCTGGGCTTTGTGCTCTTGTTTCCCTAAAACAGGAGAAATAAACATTCAGAGAGTTTCTGCCACAAAACGAGTCGAAGGACAAAAATTCAGATTATTTTATTATTTTTTTTTATTATTTTTTTTATTTAGTGAGTTAAACAGGAAAAAAATCGAGTGATGAGAAAATATTTGATCAGTTTTGAAAGCCGATTTAATCAATTTTTAAAGCATAGAAGTCATTGAAGAGCTATTCAATGGGGTCTTTCAGTAAATAAGTACAAAAACCTATTGAAAAAAGAGAAAATATTTTTACCTGTTGTTCCAGCTCCAGTGTAGGCAATTAGACACCTGCTGGTGGATAGTTCCCACAGTTTTATCAATGAATCCTTCCCCGAAGACAGCAAATACTGAAATAAAGAACACACATAAATGAATAATTAAACCGGTAGAAACAGATTCAAAAAAATTGCTTATAGACTATTTGCGAACATTTCAGAACTTCCTAGGTCGAGTGAAAAATTTCAAGAAAGCTTCTTGCAGCTCATGAGATAACCCACAACTGTAGTACAAATTTCGTGCTTCAATTTCCGATAAACTTTTGGAAATTTTTGTCAAGTGACAATTCCCCTCAAATTTCCAGGGATTTCGTCATTGACGATTCACAATCTGATAAAAAAATCAATGGAAAATGCATAGTTCATTCCAACAATTCAATAAAAATTGATAGAATCAGGTAAATATACTCTTAATTTCTCTATTAATTGATAATTTTGCATTATTTCGAACTGAATATCATTTATCGACGAATAATTATTAAAAAATAGTAATTATCCTGATTAATATAAGTGAATTCTAATTCTAAAGGTTTCCCATATCTACTTAAAGCATCTTCACACTCATGCTCCTAGAAATATTGGACTAATGACGTGTTCACCTTAGCTAGACGAGCGTGGAATCATGTACCGTACACCTGAAAAAACAAATATTTCCAAACCGCCGCACCCCCACTCATCTAAAAAAACGACTACTCACGCTGTATTTTCATTTTTTTTCTTATAATTAAATTCGAAGAATGAAAAACCTTGGGAAATTTGCGTCCAAGAATTATTTAATAATCTCAGTAGAATGCGTTATATTGAAACATCAACATCTACAGACTTTTTGCCCAGAAAAATATGTATTCAAACAAATCGGGAAAGTTTCATAATTTTCAGTCCAATTGAGGCAAAAACAAATAGAATTTTCTAATAGAGTTGTTATAGAACTCCCATAGAATTGTGATAGAGTTCTAATGAAAATTTAGTAGGCTTTCTTGTAGAACGTGCTCGTTTTTTCTATACAATGTTGCTTCCTTCAGTACAATTTTCACACCCATTTCGCTAGAAATATTGGACTAGTGACGTGTTCAACTTAGCTAGACGAGCGTGGAATCATGTGCCTTACACCTGAAAAAACAAAAATATTTCCAAACCGCCCACCCCCACCCACCTAAAAAAACGACTACTCACCTTTTTCCGGTGTATTTTCATTTTTTTTCTTATAATTAAATTCGAAGAATGAAAAACGTTGCGGAATTTGCGCCCAAGAATTATTTAATAATCTCAGTAGAATGCGTTATATTGAAAGATCAACATCTACAGACTTTTTGCCCAGAAAAATATGTATAGACGAGCGTGGAATCATGTACCTTACACCTGAAAAAACAAAAATATTTCCAAACTGCCCACCCCTACCCACCTAAAAAACCGACTACTCACCTTTCCATTGCGTGTGAAAGCGACCGAGCAGACCTCATAGGAATCATGAGCCTTGACAAAAGTGTTGATACACCTATTAGAGACCCCATCCCACAACTTGATGCTCCCATCCTTCCCAGCAGAGGCGTACGTCTTGGCATCAGGCGAGTACTTGACACTGGTGATGCCAGCAGTGTGCTGATGATTGGGAATGCTGCAGACGAAGCACTGCGCAGTGTTGATATCGTAAAGCCTGATGACAGGGTGATTGGTCCCCACAACCAGGAAATCCCCAGTGGGATGGAACGACAGGCACCTGATCTGATCAGCATCTGTGATGGTTCTAAATGCCTTCTTGACACTGGCCTTGCTGAAATCAAACAATTTCACGCTGAAGTCTCGACTCCCCGAGACTAGAATGGGCTCTCGAGGGTGGAATTCGAGGCAGGTCACCTCCTCCAGATGATCGTAGAGCGTTCTTATGACGGGATGGCCACCAGCCTGGTCCCCAGGCGTCATTTCATCGGGTGCTGACTTGGCGAGCATCCTGTCGACGTCGAGGATCTTGATGGAGGCATCCACTGAGCCTGTGGCGATCAGCTGTCCATCAGCTGAGAAGGCTCCAGCCCTGCAGTTGCCTTTGTGCGATGTAACGTAGGCTGTCTCGTACTGCGCTGGCTCCGGGGCCTGTGTCTGGGTCTCAGTCTCGTACTCCAGGTCCAGGCCTGGGCCCAGGGTGTTGTCGAAGCTGGAGAAGGACGGCGTGTGGTTGGCGTTCGATCCTTCGTTTTTTTTCGCTCTGTCTGGCTCGTGAGCTGTTCCCAGGAGCATCAGGTGCAGGAGACGGTCCGAGGGAGGACAGGGGGGCTCGGCCTGAATCAGGTTCGAGAGCTGGACTGCTATTGTCTGGTGACCGTCGTAGAACAGTTGACTGGAAGGGAAAAGAGGATTGAGTGATAGACAGAGCAGTCATCAGCATCCATCATTATTCCAGAAATATTAACAGAATTTTTTCCCCAAAATAACCGAATTCATTCGTTTATCATTGGAACTCAGAAAATGATAAATAATTGGAAATTTAAATTTTTTAAATAACTATAAGGTAAATGACCCTACGCTCGTCTAGCTAAGGTGAACACAGCGTGAAGATGCGATTATTTAAATTACATATCAAAGGGTAAAACCTTCAGAATTGGAATTTATTTATATTTATTACGATAATTACTATTTTTTTATAAATAATCGTCCATGAATGTGAAAAGTCCCATGTCCCTACGCTCGTTCATCTGTCCCCATGCTCGTTTGACACATGTCCCTATCCTCGTCTCGTGATTTGAGTGATATGGAAAGGTTGTATCCGAACTAATTACATCGTGAGTATCCTATTTTGTGATAAAACAACATTAAAAAATAACTCGATGCTCAAAATTATGCAAAACGAGCGTAGGATCAATGCCGTTTTTATTGTACCTATTCTTTTAATTGGCAATATTTCAGTGAAATATCCGGATATTACTATAATTTATGCGTTTTTTTTAAATTTTTAACTATTCGATACCTTAGCCAAGGGATTTTTAACTCCATTTTACTATTGTAACGGAGATATCAACGTTTTAAAATTGTGAGTTTTTTAACTTGTGGCTTAAGAATTAACTCTGTCGTAGCACGAGTTGATGTGAATGTGATTTTTCTCTCTTATTATTCAATAAATCACGCTGCATTGCTGTCTATAACTTTTCTTATTGACTAAAATAATAACTCCAATCGTATTTCACTCTTAATAGACTCTTGATGCTATCAAAATGATTGAAATGTCATAGCTGGCAGGATCTGAACGAGCGCAGGGACCAAGACGGGCATAGGTACATTTACCACAATTGGAAATTTCCTAAAAAATATTGAAGATTATCAGATAATCGTCATTCTTCCGAATTCGATTATTGATTGGTAAAATATTTCGGAATTTAAATATTTAATTGTTGATTAATTGAATAATCGAAAATTGTTAAGTTCTATTACTTGATTGAGTATGTATGAAATTAATGGTAATAATAATTTATGGTTATGCCTATCTCTGAGATAGAGACATTATACTGAGAAAAAAAAATAATTTCGCCAAATATCCATTTGCTTGAGAGAAGTATTTGTTTATTCAATACCGTATTTCTGCAGTCGAGCCATTCCCAGGCAATTCTCATTAGGTTTTTATTGTGACAATTATGAGAACTTTATGACTTGTTAAAAAAGCTGACAATGTGACAGTGCGTTTTAGCTTTTTCGAAAGAAGCCTCAATAAAATCAGCAGTGAAGTGGTCAAACGGTTTAAATCGGTTTTGGCTATTGGCCAGTTTTCAATGAATATCTCGAAATCTAAGGGAGATAGCAAAATTTTTCTCATAACCTTCTTAGTAGCACTCAATTCGCTCTACAAAAAAGGTTATTATAAAAATTTCGCTATCTCTCTTAAATTCGGAAATATTTCTGGAAACCTCAACTAACTCAACCTCAACTCAACCTCAACTGGAAAGCTTAAAGACGAAATTGACTTAAGCCGTTTGACCACTTCGCTACTGAAATAATTATCAAAGGCGATGACAATGCAATCATCTTATCATATGTCCTGTCAAAAGAATTGGAATCGATTGATCGAGAAAAGTACTACCACCAGAAATTATCCTGACCAATTTTCATCCAGTTTTTTATTCGAATCAAAAAGAATTCGAGGAAAAGCTGCGGTTAAATGGATTCTCTTGAATATTTAATATCTCTTGATGAAATGATTTTATTTAAACCACTCAGGTCTTATTTTGAAGCCTAAAAAAATACTCTTGCAATATCAAGGAAAAATGGTTGAATTTCGTTCTACATATCACGAATTGATGGAATGATTTTATTTAAACCCCTCAGGTCGTGTTTTGAAGTCTGAAAAAATACCCTTGATATAACAAGAAACAATAGTTGAATTTTATTTGATCTATCACGAATTCATGAAATATTCTAATTTCATTCAGCCTTTCTCGAATTAGGATGCGGGTAGGGTAAAATGGACACTTTAGACGTTTTTAAAATTATTCATAACTCAGAAACAAATTTATCAATTGAGCTCAGTTTAGGCTCGTCACAAAGAGAAATAATTGTTCTTTGTATTAAAAAAAAATTATTAAATTTCATCAACATTACAACCCCTCATTAACATTTGAAAAAAAGTCAAAAGTGTCCGTTTTACCCCAACCTCCCCTACTAAGGATTAAATATTGTCCATTTCATCCCCTCGCTCCAAAAAATTTCCCAGACTTATTGAACATGCAGTTGATCTTCGGAAAAAAGTGCGCTATAATTAGGGGAGAGTGGGGTAAAATGGACACTCTAGACTTTTTTTAAAATTATTCATAACTCAGAAACAAATTTATCAATTGAGCTCAGTTTAGGCTCGTCACAAAGGGAAATAATTGTTCTTTGTATTGAAAAAAAAAATTATTAAATTTCATCAACATTCCAACCCCTCATTAACATTTGAAAAAAAGTCAAAAGTGTCCGTTTTACCCCAACCTCCCCTAATAAAGAATTGCTTTCTTCGAATTAAAAAAAATGATTAAAAATCCTCATCAAATTCTGAATAAATAATTACCTGATCATCAAACGGTAGAGTGTCTCCCTATTTTTAATAACGTTCTTGGGGTCAATTTCTGGGTCCTTCATGGCGATATCCTGCCCAGTCATCCTTTGGGACGGAATAATTTGATATACTTTTCCCCTGCACAACTGTTTTGCAATAAACAAAATGCTCCCAAGACAATCGTGAGAGGTTAAGACGTGTTTGACTCGTTTGTTGTTAAATATTGACTGGCCATTGCACTCAATCGCGTCACGTCAATCGCAGAATTTCGGACTCCGATTGGCTGAGGACAATTACTCCAGCAGAAACAGCCAATAGCCGCCCTCCGAAGGTTCTGGAGCAGCGGAGGAGTCACGTGGGTTCAACTATGACAGAATGGCTGATGGACGAGAGGATAATAAATCCGAGGAGTTGATAAATGCCGGGGGGAAATCGTCTAAAAAGAGTTTTGATGATTCTGAACATATTCTGAGGAAACGACCGCCTTATGCCTTCCCCAAGAGGAGCAAGGACGTTTATGCTACGAATAAAACTGCTTTCAAGGTAAAATACTCAGGGGTACTTAACCTCGATGATTCTGTTCACTGTTATTTTTTTATTAACTTTTAGGAGTGGAAATTTAATCTCTCAGGGTTTTGAAATTTTTTTCTTTAGTTATTACACTTTTTTGAGGAGTGGGACTCTATAAAATTCTATTGGAATTCTATTGAAGAATTATATTTGTTTTTTGCGTGGAGTCTGTTCTAAAGTTTGTCAATTTTATTGAAGAACTTTACTGTGACCTTTTGTCAAAAGATATTTGATAGAAGAAATCCAATAGATTTTTATTTTTTTGTAGAAATTCTTAAGGATAAATTTTCCAAGTTTTTTTCGCTGTTTTTTTATTTTTTCTCATAATTAAATTTCAAGAATTATTTGAGAAACAATCTTAATAGAATGCGTTATATTGAAAAATCAACATCTACAGATTTTTTCCACAAAAAAATATCTGTTCAGAAACGCACAGGAGATTTGCGTAATTTTTAATAGAATTCTTGAATAGAGTTCTTATTAGGACTCCAATGAATTGTAGAGGTCCAACAAAAATTCACTGTAGTTATTATAATTTTTCAGGATTTTTAAAATTTAATAGTTTGCTCTATAAAATTTTTATTGGAGTTCTATGAGAATTCTATTAAAGAATGATATTTGTTTTTTGCGTGAATTCTGTTCTAGAGTTTATAGGTTTTATTGAAGAACTTATCGTGACATTTTGCCAAGAGATATTTGATAGAAGCAATAGATTTTTATTTTTCTGTACAAATTCCTTGGCACAAATTTTCTAAAATTTTCCGCTGTATTTTCATTTCTTTCTCATAATTAAATTCGAAGAATGAAAAACCTTGGGGAATTTGGGGCCAAGATTTATTTAACAAACAATCTCTACAGAATGCGTTATATTGAAAAATCTGCATCAACAGACTTTTTCTACAGAAAAATATGTATTCAAAAAAATCGGCAGAGTTGCATAATTTTCAATCCAATTGAGGCAAAAACAAATAGAATTTTCTAATAGAGTTGTTACAGAACTCCCATGCAATTATGATAGAGTTCTAATGAAAATTTTGTAGGCTTTCTTGGAGAACGTGCTCGTTTTTTCTATACAATTTTTCTTTTTTCAGTACAATCTTTACTATTTAGAGTCACGTTTATAACCATCGATTAAAAAATTCAGAAGTATCAAAATTTTTTTTATAGTAACAGTCATCTACATCGTGATTTTATTATTAGTAATTAATTATCTAATAGTTCAGATTGTGGATTTACAGTATTTTGAAGGAATTAATGCGTTTTTTGTCACATTTCGCAGGCACAATTGAGTGTCTGTGAAAAACTGCTGGATTCAGGGGAGCCAGAGATTATAATCCATGGATTAGGAGCTGCGATTAATCGAGCTTGTAATTTAGCCCTTCAGCTCAAGAAAAATTCCAGTGGAACGTTGGATATTGATATACGCACCTCTACAGTCCATCTCATCGGTAAACTCAGCAATAAATATCGTCAATTTATCACATCTGCTTAGTGATCGGCAGCAATCATTATTTCAGAAATATTAAGAGAATTTTTCCTCAAAATAATTGAATTCATTCATTTATCATTGGAATTTATAAAATAATAAAATAATTGAGAATTTAAATTTTCAAATAACTATTAGGTAAATAATTGGAAATTTCCTAAAAATATTAGAGATTATCAAATAATCGTCAATCTTCCGAATTCGATTATTGATTGGTAAAATAATTCGGAATTTGAATATTTAATTGTTGATTAATTTAATAATTGAAAATTGTAAAGTTCTATTACTTGATTGAGTATTTATGAAATTAATGACAATTGTAATTTATGATTATGCCTATCTCCGCATCTGCTTAATAATGCAATTATTTTGTGGAAGAGAGAATTTAGGGGATAATTTCAGTTTACTTCCAGGGAAATTTCAACTAAAAAGTCACTTGATATTTTCTTTTAAAACCTCTCATTATATAAATTATTCCCTAAATCAACAATTGACTTGACATTTAAACAGCATGCGCTCAATTCCAATATTTGTGTACTGCATAATTGTGGGAAAACTGTAGGATATTTCATGTTTCATAAAAAAAAAATTATCTTAAATTTTTTTGTCACATATTTTTCGCTTTTCAATAGCATAATATAATTACAGTATATATTTTTGAAATAATATACCTACAAAAAAAATAAAATGACAGATGGTAATGTTTATAAAAAACTTTAATGTATTATTAATAGCTGGTGGTTGTTCAATACGTGGGTGACAGAAAACGTCTCACCAATTCTTTCACAGAGAATATTTTTCGTTAATTAATTGATTATGTAAAAAATATTGGATAGACAAAATACGATAGATTTTTATTTTTCTGCAGAAATTCTTAGGGATAAATTTTCCAAGTTTTCTCAGGGGAATTTGCGCCCAAGAATTATTTAACAAACAATCTCAATAGATTATCTAGAAAAACGAATAATTGTCACAGAGAATATAAAAAAACTCTTCTATACCTCACGAAATCCCGCACAAAATGCCCTCTGATATTTTCTCCAATTTCAAATTGCACCTTAACATTCTCCACTTCAATTCACCTCTTCCCTCCAATTTTCCAGATGATCTCGAGCCTCTGAAGGATGAACTAGACTGCGAAGTGAACACCCGCAACAATTCCGCAATCCACATCAGAGTGTTTCGAACAGTCGTAATAGGACCCCTGAAATATGCCTAAAAAAATCCAAAACTCTTGAGGAAAATTCCCCACATTAATTCCGCGAAAGATGTCTTCCCTCTGATCCCCAGTTCCACTTGCTCCACAAAACCGAAAGAATAATGATCTTCTCCTTGAACGAGCTCGTCCACTGGCTGGGTCTGACCATCTTCGAGATCTGGGTGAACCTCGTGTCCCTGACGATATTCACAGTTCTCTTGGCCCTGAAGCTCGACGAGAACTACTTCCTGGGATTCTCTGGCTGGTGGATCGTCTTCACACCCCTCTTCATAGCCGATGGACTCAACACGTACTTCTGCGCCATAATATTCATCAGAATGCACATGGAGGGGATGATCAAGGTGGGGATCCTCAGGGCCCTCTGGAGTCTCATCTCTCTGCTCCTCGTCTTCGTGTTTAAGTATCTCCTCTGCAAAAAATTATCGGGACAGAGTAGTCTGGAGTACTCAGAGGTCTTCAGCCCTGTGTTCATTCTCCTTCAGCTGATCGCTGTGAGGGCCTGCCAACTGCACTGACCTAGGCCTCCGGTCGAGGCGAATATTCAAGTCTGCATGCTCAGTGCTAATCCTGATTTAATCAACGGGTACTTCGCCGCTGAGTTCAGATGAGATTCATTGTAATTTTGTCATTGTGGGGAGTTGTTCATTGAACTGTGTTTATACTGGGTAGGAGTTAAGGAATGTAGTGCATAAGTTTTTTATTATTAAATGGTTACAGTGACTTTATTGAAGATTACAGTGTGACAGTTTATTTCGTGTACATAATATCTTTAGAAAAAAAATCGAAATTCCGGACTTCAATGAGAGTTCTATGAAGGTCAAAATTTTTGGGCAGTGGGAGAAGGAGCATTCCCCAATTCCTTCGAATTTTTAATCGAAATATGAATATGTAATATCGATTTACGCTGAATTTTCATGTAATTAAAAATTGAAGTTATGAAAATTCGGGGTAGAATATTTTCTTTGCATTAAATTATCGGGGCAGAGCAATCTCGAGTACTCGAATGTCTTCGGCCCTTTGGTCGTGTGTACATTTAGTTTTCATCACTTGTGCGTAAAGTGAAATTTTACGCACGCTCCGCGTGCGCAAAATCCCACGTTTCGCAGATTGTGATGAAAAATATCGTTCGATATATGCATAACGGCTGTAAGCAATGCTTCATGTCCGTGAAGCGTTGTGAAGTCTTGACTTTCCGCCCGAGGAAGTAACTTTCCACCCGAGGGCGGGAAGTACTCACTTTCCTCCCGCTCATCAGGGAGTAAAGTACGAACTTTTCGTGCAGGTGTGTGAAAAATACTATTTTCGTTCCCTGGAAGGTGTCTTCTCCCAAGTCTTAAAGAACACTTTTCCCACGAGTATCGAATCCTATCTTGCATCACCACCTGCAAATAAAGTGAATTTTTTCGCTCCGCGTGCGCAAAATTCCACCTTATGCACAAGNCAGACGCAACCTCAAAAACATCATTTTTTCACGTTTCATGACATTCTAGATCATTTGCAATGAAAATTAGAAAATCGAAAAATCGACCAAAAAAAATAATGCTTCCCTTCGGAAGCAAAAAAAGAATTCATACAAAGAATTTTTAATTCGCAATTAGCAACCCGGACCCGATATCACAAGAGCTTACAAGTTTCAAGCAGGATACGTTTTCTACGCAAACGCCTGAATGATCACCGAATTATCTTCACAGTGAGTAAACCCACGAGAAAACGTCAAGAGAAATTCTTGCAGCAAATTTCCTAATCTTCAAAAAAACTTGACATTTTTCCCTACCCCCTCCCCTCTTCCAGAAATCCCCAAAAAATCTCGTAAAAAGATTCTCCCCCAAAGAAAATTGAAACCCAATTAACCACTGAATTAATTAATCACCAAATCGAGGGGGTAAACTAATCAATGTTCGACCCAGTTATCAATACTTCCGCCGAGACGACGTCCATATTCATAGCTGCAGTGCACCATCGTGTGATATTGAAAATAGCCCAAGGAGTTTTCAAGACCGAATGAAATCCCTGGGCTTTACAAACTCCAGATGAAAATCCCAAACTTGAGGGGTGAAGATAAATCGATTGAACTTGGCTTCACCTGGATATTTCATCCCCTCCCCCTTTCTCAAAACTTTGGATGGGACATTTATCACTGGATTTATCCAAATTGTTACACCACGAGATTTGTTTTTTTTCCTTCCTCCGTTCTTTCTCGTTTTTATTTCACTTTATAGTACGTAAAAGTCGGTCAACTTCCACACCGTTAGGGTTCGAGTAATGATCCCTTCGACCGATTATTGACGTACACCTGAACAGGGCTTTTTTTTACACTCCACTCTATATTTAGACGAATCAAGTATGTACTTGCCATGATTGATTTCAGATTTGATCCTTAAATTATTCAATTTCTAGGGACAATTTTGCGGCAATAGAATGGGGGAGGTATTTTTAAGTTAATTATACTGGTGATAGGTGCTTTGCTACTCTGCCCGGAAGAAAATCAATGTTTCAAAATTCAGTAGAAAAACCTAGCGAATTCGCTAGACAATTCTGTTGGATTTCTATTGAACTTTCTATTATTTTTTGGCTGATTCTATTCAAATGTTTCATAGAAAATATGCGATTGAAAAAATCAAAAGAATTCGATTTTTCCATAGAACTTCTCTATACAACTCGGCTCGAATTTTCCAAGTTTTTTGTTTGATTTTCTTGATGAGAAGACAAGAAAAATAGTATGAAAAAAACTTGAGCCGAGGAAATTCTACAGAAAATATTTAAAGGCAATAAGTTATACAGAAAAATTGAATTCGATTGATTTTTTCGATTGAAGATTTTAATAAAATCGGCCAAAAACTAATAGAAAGTTCAATAGAATTTCCTAACGAATTCACAAGGTTTTTCTATTAAATTTTTTCGTGCCTGTTGCGTGTCCGAACTTTTTTCATCTTTTTCTGTGTGTGTGTGCGTGTTGGGGTGGGGAGGTGGGGGTATTTTTAAGTATTTTGAAGTTAATATTTTTATGTATTTTTAAGTTAATTATGTAGAGGATAGGTACTTTGCTACTCTGCCTGGAAGAAAATCAATGCTTCTATTTTTTTTTTCAAATTTTATCAATGTTTCATGGATGACAAAATTTAAGAGAATTGAACTTTCTATTATTCTTTGGCCGATTCTACTGAAAAAAAAAATTTCTATTGTAAATGTTCCATAGAAAATATTCTGTAGAAAAAGTCAAAAGAATTCGATTTTTCTATGAAACCTAATCTATTGAGATATTTTCTACAAAATTTCCTCGGCTCGAATTTTCCAAGTTCTTTTGTTTGATTTTTTTGATGAGAAGACAAGAAAAATAGTATGAAAAAAACTTGAGCCCATTCTACAGAAATATGTGAAGAAAATAAGTCATAGAAAAATCGAATTCTGTCGAGTTTTTCTATTGAACATTTCGATAGAATCGGCCAAAAACGAATAAAAAGCTCAACAGGAATCCAATAGAATTTTCTACCGAATTCGTTAGGTTTTTCTATTAAATTTTTTCGTGCCTGTTGCTCTACTTTCCAACTTTTCCCATTTTTTTCGGGGGGGGGAGGGGGGGGGTTGTTTGGAGAGTTGAGTGAGCATTCAATAACAAGTCTTTTTCATGAAATGAGGGGATTGATGAAGGATACGTTAATGGAGATTGGATTGAACTCCACCTTGATCTTTGAATTATTTAATTTCTACGGACGATGGGGTAGCAATGAAAATGGGGGAGGTATTTTCGAGTCAATTATACCGGTGATAGATGCTCTATTCGTTTCGTTTCTGGAGGAAAATCAAAATCCATTTTTTTTCAATATTTTAGTGATATTCGCTACTTTTTCTGTATTTTTGCTTCCGAATGGAAGCTTTGTAATCGTCCATTGTGACGATATTCTAATTGCTCTTGGAAATGATGTAGAATGTCGTGAAACGTGAAGATATGATGTTTTTAGAAAATCTGTGTAGGTCCGTATGTATGTTCGAATTTTTCGGATTTTTAAAAATAAATCTTCACGAAAAAAAGAGTAAACTTCGAGCTAAAAATATGAATTTTTTTTTTTTGAATAACTGATATTGCTTTTTTTTATGGAGAGAGGGAATCATGATTAATCTGTAATTATTTTTCTAATTAATTCGAGATAATTATTTTTCTCTAATTAATTGTCTCAAAACTATTGCCTTTTTAGAAGCGATTATGTGACGATGAGACTGGAAGAAGTATTTTCGAGTGTATTTTTTTAAGTTAGTTACACTTTTTATAGATAGTGTATTTCTCTTTCTGAAAAGAAACCAACTGTTGCATTTTTTTTTTCAATTTTCACCAAGGTTTTCCGCGTTTTTGTTTCTTTCATTATTTATTATTTGTTTTTTTAATTTTTTTATTGAGGCGGGAGCTGTTTAAAAGAGCCCATTCACTAATTACGAGTAATTTACCCTAATGAAAGCACTAATGAAGGGTGCAGTTATGATAATTGGATGGAATCCTGCAGCGGAGGAAAAAAACTGAAAAAGTTGTAAAATTGGATTTAGTTGATTGTAGTCCTATTTGTAGAGCAGGTAGGTTCGAGACAAATATCAAGTTTTTTGTAGGCCCCAGAATATGAAATTCTTCGCGAGAAAGGTCTTTTAATATTTTTCATCACGCTGTGACGAAAAGTCCGATTTCCGCCACATTGTGATGAAAAATATTGTTCGTAACTCGTGAAAAAATGTTTTTTACCTCGTGGGATTATATCGTGTCTTACTCGCCTTCGGCTCATGATATAAAACTCCCACTCGCCAAAAAACACTTTTTTGCACTCGTTACGAAATATACTATTTCATCACGCTGTGCGAAAAAGTGACTTTTTAGGCACGCTTCGCGTGCCTAAAGCGTCCCTTTTTCACACATTGTGATGAAAAATACCGTTCGATACTCGTGGGAAAAGTGTTTTTTGGCTCATGGGTGGCTATCAACCTCCCACGAGCCAAAAAACTCTTTCCCGCACTCGTAACGAAATATACTATTTTTGCTCTCTCTGCCTGAAAAGTTCACTTTTCACTTTTCGGGGCAGTTTAGGACGTATGAAAAAATCGTATAGAATTTCCCATACGGATTGCGTACAGAAATTCTACAGGACTTCCGTATATAATATTCAGATATTTCTATACGAATATTTTCTACACGAATTATTTAGATACATAAATTTTTACATAAATTGTTGTTTTCATACGAAAGATGTCTAAACGTTTTAGAGAAAAACGGTTCGTATAGGATCAAACCTATAGAAATCGTATAGAAATAATTTGCATAGAAATTCCCATAGAAATTCTATACGCAATCCGTATTGAAAATTTCTATACGATTTTTTCATACGTGAGGCGGCGTGGAGTGAATAAAATAGTATATTTCGTAACGAGTGCAAAAAAGTGTTTTTTGGCGAGTGGGAGGTTTATATCACGTGCCGAAGGCGAGTGATATAATCCCACGAGGTAAAAAACATTTTTTCACGAGTTACGAACAATATTTTTCATCACAATGTGGCGGAAATTGGACTTTTAGGCACGCGGAGCGTGCCGAAAAGTTCACTCTTCGTCACAGCGTGATGAAAAATAAAATATCGTTCGTCACGCGGCCGAACAAAACTCTTCTAGCTCATATAACTGCAGCCAGAAAATATTCATACTCGCCAGAAAATTTTTTTTCGGCCCAATAACGAAATATATTATTTTCGGCCAAATGACGAAGAATACTATTATCTAACGAATTGACGAGTGAAATTTTTAGCGAGCGTGAGGTTTACAGCCGAGGGTTGTAAACCTCAGTCACTAAAGGCGAGGGTTGCAATCACACTCGTCAAACACGTAATTTCCGAACGCGTTAGGTAAAACACTACTATTGGCGATTCACGCATGCAAATCCCTGCAAAAAGTGATGAGTTTAATAGATTGACATCGACTCAAAGCCAATGATTTAACTACATACCTTCGCAGGATACTTTTTTTTTCAATCCCCGCAAAATTTCAATCTCCGCAAAAAATGATACCCTTAAAAATTGCGAATGCATTTCTCTTATAAATTTCTCTCTAAAACGTGGAAATACCGAAACAATACCCGAATTCAATACCAAAAATAAACAGTCTAAAAGGTTTTACCCCTTGACAGAAGGTTGAAAAATGTACCTCGTACACAGAGATGAAGGGAGAAGCGGAGGAGACCATCATTGTAGAGAATTTCATAATCTAAACAAAAATCTGCGGCTATATCTGAAAAATGAGTGTTACGATTCGAAAATATTGAGACTTTTCTGTGAGAAATTTCACAATCTACAAAAAAATCAGAAATTTATCACACTCGCTTTCAAAATATTTGCAAAATTATCAATCCCAAATTTCTCAATCAATTACATTTTTTTAATGGCAATGATTAAACTAAATACTTACAAATTAAGAATCTAATAATCTACTAGAAAATGTCTGTTAACAAAACTTCAATCCCCGCAATAAAAGATGACCTTAAAAATAGCGAATGCATTTCTCTTATAAATTTCTCTCTGAAACTTGGAAATACCGAAACAATACCCGAATTCAATACCAAAAATAAACAGTCTAAAAGGCTTTACCCCTTGACAGAAGGTTGAAAAATGTACCACAGAGATGAAGGGAGAAGCGGAGGAAACCTTCATTGTAGAGAATTTCATAATCTAAAAAAAAATCTGCGGCTATATCTGAAAAATGAGTGTTACGATTCGAAAATATTGAGACTTTTCTGTTAGAAATTTTACAATCTACAAAAAAATCAGAAATTTATCACACTCGCTTTCAAAATATTTCCAAAATTATCAATCCCAAATTTCTCAACCAATTACATTTTTTTAATGGCAATGATTAAACTACATACTTACAAATTAAGAATCTAATAATCTACTAGAAAATGTCTGTTAACAAAACTTCAATCCCCGCAATAAAAGATGACCTTAAAAATTGCGAATGCATTTCTCTTATAAATTTCTCTCTGAAACGTGGAAATACCGAAACAATACCCGAATTCAATACCAAAAATAAACAGTCTAAAAGGCTTTACCCCTTGACAGAGGGTTGAAAAATGTAGCTTGATGTACACAGAGAGGAAGGGGGAGAAGGAAGAGCCTAGTTGGTCGTTGGTATCGCACATTTCTCCCTCTACACCTCTGGTTTTCCCTCTTTTGAAGAAGATCAATATTGCCAGCCAGAGGGGGAGACGGCGAATCTTCCAACGTCGTAGGGGGGTTGCTCGCCCCACAAAATCAAATCAACTCTATAGGCAAAGCCTGTTGCTGCTGGTGAACACTTGGCAGCACGTAGTTCAAGTGAGTGCTGTTTCCCTCCTCTCCAGCGTGTTGTTCTTCTTGGAAATAAATATAAATAGACATTGTCGCCGCTTTTTTGTGCACTTTTTTTTAAATTGGGGGTGAGAGGGCGGGTGGAGTGATGTGTCGTGGTCTGCAGGGACGAGATTATGGATAGTCTGGGAAATTTGACGCACGGTAGGTGGAAACACCCGAATTTATTTCTTTAATTTTTTGGGGGTTTCACGGAAATCGATGGGGTGGGGAGAGGTTTATTTTTTGCGGTGAGTTTCGGGTGACGTGCGAGGTGGAGGGATGGATTGGCAGGGGTTGGCGGAAGGTAGAGAATTTTTTGGAAGGGGTTTTCGAAGTTTTTGGACGGTTTTAGCGCCCGGAGGAAAAAAATTACACGAGAAATTACGGTACAATTTTGGTAGTCGCAGGGGAAAATTGTATTTTATGAATTTTAATGTTTGAAAATTGAAAATGAGAGGTGAAGAATAAATATTCTTTGAACAAGTTGTCATATACATATAGACATGACCCTAAAAACATAATTTCTTCGTATTTTGTAACATTCTAGGCCGGTCGCAATCAAAATTAGAAAATCGTAAAATCGGTGAAATACAATCAGGAAAAATTCGCCCCTCTGGAACGTAATTCTTTGCAAACGAGCAGGAAAATTTGTGTTTGTTGGTGAAGGTACCAGAAATACTGATCAATTTTACGTTCTCAGCGAATTTTTACGGCACACAGTTCGGTAATTTTCCCTAAATTTTTCGTGAAATTTTTCGTTGATTCATTTCTTCGTGGATTTAGGGAGAGTAGGGAGACGGGGGGATAATTTCAGTCATTTTGATTTTTTTTTAGTATTTTGTGAATTTCAAGGAGATAGTCGAGAAATCCATACAATAACAATGATAAATTTTTGTATTTTTTTGTGTGAAATTTATGCGGATGTCAGGGTCAATGTACTAGTGTTTTTATCTCGGTAGAGAAATAAATTTTAATTCAGGGAAATAACACTTTTTCCGCTTAAAAATGCAATTGATGGGCATCAATTCACTGAAATCTCATTAAACTTTTCCCGTATCCAAGGGGTTCTTTAACTCCATTAATTTGGTGTAATTATTCCTTTCAATCAGAGTATTTTTCAAGGGGGGCACTAGGATTCTAATGGAATCAGAAATTTTTACAGATTTTTTTTGCTATTTTTTGTTGATTGAGTTATTTATTTTCGTTGATTAATTTTTTCGAAACTTCGTTTTGAAAAAAAATGCGGGAGAGAGTTAGAATTTTGTATTGTTGTTGATGTCTTGGAAACGGGGGAAGAATTTCAGTCATTTTGATTAGGTTTTAACAAATATTTTGTGAATTTCATGAAGATAATCGTCGAGAAATCCATACAAAGAGGATAATTTTTTGTGATTTTTAGTGAAGTCTAAATTTGGAGCTAATATTCAATTTTGAAATTTACGGGAATGATACGGTCAATGGTCTACTGTTTGAATCTGTTCAGAGTTCATTTTTTTAATTAGTTCGTCTTTTAAAATACAATGTAATGCGCTTCAATTCACTGAGACCTCAGAAAACTTTTCCCATATTCGGGGTGTTATTGAATTCCATTAATTTGGTCACTGGTATTCGGCGAACTTTCCCCCTCCATCCCTTCATTCAGGCCATAAAAAGTTATCAAATTTTTTTCGAACTCATATTGGACACACTTCAGTCGTCGAAGTAAAAAAATTAAATTGGCGATTTCAAAAATAGAATAATTGAAGCTGACAGACAACTTTGAATGTCAAAAATTCGAGATGAATGTAGAAAATTTGAATTGCAATTCCATTGTATTTTCCGTGAAATTCGAAGTTTCATTATTTTTTCTGCTGATGATCATTACTAAACGGTTGGAAATATTTTTTTTTTCAAGTCGATTTTCACTCATTTGTACATGTATAAATAAATTCATAGAAAGAACTAGCGAAATTTCACCAGTTATTCAGCGATTATATTGAAAAATTCCACTGCTCCTCTGCGCGTTGACCTCAGTAGAAATTATTTTATAGGAAAATATAATAGAACTAAGTCCTTCAAATAAGTTGGGAAAGTCTCGTCTTTCTGTCGCTCATAAATTCGCAATTCCACAGCATTTTCCGCGTAATTTGAAGGTTCATGATTCTTTTAGACTCTCCCGGAAATTATTACTAAACAGTCCAGGGAATATTAATTTCTTTGCATATATAACAAAATTCGTAGAGAGAGCCATCCAAATTTCACTATTTTTGCACCGATTTTATTGAAAAATTCTGATGCTCTTCTGTGCGTTCTTTTCAGTAGAAAATATTCAATAGAAGTTATTTTATAGGAAAAATTAATAGAACTTAATGTTTCCATACTACTTATTCTATTAAGATACTTCGTATTGATTTTTTCGATGAAATTTTTGAGAAAAATTCATGAATATTAAAAAGAATGCGTGGGAAAGCGCTGCATTTTCCAACGAATGAAATTTTAAATGAAAATACAAAAAGAATCAGACAAAATTTTCCACCTAAATGAGCTAGCGTTTCCCATTAAATTTTGTCATGCTTGCAACAGTTTGTGAGATAAAATTTACGAAAATCTCATAGAAAACGCAATTCCTCGTCCGTCACATCATATTTTCTCAACTTTTATCGGTCTTACCTCCACATGAATCTTTCTCAAATCAATTCAAGGGAAATATTAATTTTTTTGCATCTATAAAAGAAATTTATAGAGAGAGCCAGCGAAATTTCACCGACTTTATTGAAAAATTCGAATGCTCTTCTGTGCGTTCTTTTCAGTAGAAAGTTTTCAATAGAAAGTATTTTCCAGAAAACATTAATAGTATTAAATCTTTCTATACAACTGATTCTATTACGATATTTTGTATCGATTTTTTTAGCAAAATTTTTAAGGAAAATTCATGAGCATTAAAAAACGCGTGGAAAAACACTGCATTTTCTAACCAAATGAGTGAAACACAATTTAATTTTGAATAAGAATACAAAAGGAAACCAATAAAATTCTCTACCTAAATGCGCTAGCATTTCCCATGAAATTTTCTCGCGCTTGCAACAGTTTGTGCGATAAAATTTACAAAAATCTCATAAACAGAGAAAAATCTTCAATAAAAATTGCGTATCTTATCCGTAATTCCGGGGCAAAATGTGGTTGTAGGAAATTTTACGGAGCTGTCACGCAATTTTTCCAGAGCGTTTCGTAATTTTTATCTGAATCTCCTGTGAAAAATGACGATACCGTCACTTGAGGGTGCCAAGTGAATTTGAAAAAAGATTCAAAAAAAATTTTTTCTTTCCCTCCATCATTGGAGAAATATGTATTCATCCATCCGACGAAATTTCAAATCCGCAACCGGAACTAGACATCGAGAAAATAAATGCAGAAAATCCTCTATTTCGCGTGACGAACCTCGAGAAAGCATGGGATCAAATGGGTACGGCGGGTTGAAATATCTCTTTTATTCACCCCGGTACCCCATTGTTTTTTGTCGCCATCACATTAAACACATCATTCCCCATATCTTCAAATTTTTTCAAATTTTTCTTGAGTTCCTAGGGGGTTGAAACGTTCAATTTAATCAAAACTCCATAAGAGGCCGTGTATAAGACTGATTTTGTTTATTTAATTTCTCGATATCCATAAGTTCTAAAATTTTAAAATTGTCACCGATGTTCACCATCTGTCTAATACTAT